GCTGTATATTTAAGGTATTTATTACATTTATACAGTATATTTTCAAGTTGGTGCTCTAGGATATTTTAGTCAAAGAAAGCTGGTTTGTATTTCAGCTGAAATGAATGTTTTTTTTTAAGCACTGGGAAACATTAAGACCTCTGGACAGTGTTCTAGATGCCAGTACTTATTTTTACTACTTACTCTTGGAATAATTTATTTTAGTGTGGTCTCAGTCCAAAGTGCCACGGAACCATAATTCCAGCTTCTGCCTCTTTTTCCATTTCATTATTTACATATCACAGACAAGCCTGATGAAATACCTACAGTATGTAAGGAATAAGAGTATGGGCACTTTTAAGGTTGATGCTCTGCATTTCTTTTCCCTTTTTAAAATTTGAACTCACTATTGACAATGTGTGTGAGATACTGAATGACTGAAATATATTCAAATATAAGACTATTATGTTGTTCTGAGAATACTTCTGAATGATGCTCACGTAGAAAGTTGAATAGCATTCGGTCAGTGACGTTCACTTTGTACTCTTTAAGTCATGTGTTAAGAAAATACGCAACAGCTGCTTATTTAGTTTTTGGTGGGTAAAGAAATGAAGTTTGATGCTGAACTCACAATGTTTTTTTCTAGACTAGTAAGGAAACAGCTGTTAATGCTAACGTTAGCTATGTAGCAAAAGCAAAACTCAAAACCAGCTCCTTTAAGCCAAGGTAACACGTGATCGGCATCTTTAACCATCCTTCAAACCACTGGTCATTTTTACACTTTTTGTACAGATTAAACATGAGGATGTTACGTGGCTGGTGAGCTGCTGCAGAGACAGTTCAGCTCTTGTCTCCTGTTTCCATGCTTCTTTATGCTATGGCAAGCTAAGCTAAGTGGCTGCTGGTTGTCATGTCATTTGCAGAATGGGATCGATTTTCACAAGCATATTTCCCAAAATGCCAAACTATTCCTTTACACCTAATGTCAAAGAGAAACCCACATAAACCTTTCCTGACAAAAGAGAATAGGATTTGGCAACTGATGACTGTTGTACTGAACCTGAGTCTACTATTGAAAAGACCCTCCATTTAATTTACTCACAAAGAAAACTATTTATTATACAGTCTGCAGCTAATTATGCTCATCAAGCTCGAACCCTGCTGACTGTAAAAATGTGATCCCATCGCTAATGTTTAATTCCTAGAGCCAATAGTGACTTACATGTCATGGCACGTTTCCCTGCTTTCATTTGTGTTCTCCTTTTATGTCATATGAAGGTTTTGATAAATTAGCGTAGCCTAGGAAAGTATAAAACGCATCAAACTAACGATGTGGAAATTCCAAAGTGTTCCTCTGAATTCTTCATAAAAACCTGAAGTAAATCTGTCGGTGGTCTCTAAACAGGCACCGGGACAAGCTGATTGCTAATTGTATTCCTCCACTATAATGTGAATTGGAAGCAGAAGCGTGCACAGCTGTTGTCTGCTTTTGGCAAATCGTAGCTATAACTGATATTAAACCAGTAGTGTTGATGTTGACTTTGGGACATGCAAATGATTGCTGCACTAAAATAGCTGCACAGCTGGATCTGCAGTATGTGAAAGCACTTTGGATACAAAATGGAGTAACAAGGGGGGGCAGTTTTGACTGTGGTGACTAAAGGTGTCTATGGCCGTCTCCTGCAGTGATGTAGTGTGATAAGGTTACTGTGTGTGCCCCGTCCCACCCCCTATCTGAGGGGTTAGATTGTCTTCCTTTTTGGTCCAGTTGGACTCTGCAGAGAGGATTATTGGAGCTCGGCTGCAGTAGGCCTTTCAAGCTCTGGCTTGGGCTCCAGAGGACTAACAAAAAGTCAGACACTGTCAGATCCAGGGTAGGGAGGCCAAGGGCTGATGCTTTGAAGTAAGCTATGAGATTCTCATCTGGAGGGATCAGATGGAGGGAGAAAAGAAGACAGCGCGAGGTGCAAAGCTCCAGCTAAACTGGCAAGCTGGGTTGGTTTCAGGAGCTGTGGAGGTGGGTTTCACTGTTATGAATGGCTTTGACTCAATGAAATCCTGTGAAATTCACATGTGTACAACTTCTGAGATAAACAAGTATGATTTGAGAATAACAAGGGAGACATGATAGCATGCGAAGCCTTAAAATACTGATGCAAGAGGGAAAGAACAGAGGGGAAATGACATTAAAGTAAAGTAGAAGATTTAGCTGAATTTTTTGAAGTCGACAAAGAGATACAGGAGAAATATTCATGATCCTGTGGTGATTGTTCTCTGCATGATTCTTCAAACGTCCTTCAAATCAGGGCAGTCACCTCAGGATGTCCACATTATATTAATCAGCCTGCGACGTTTAAAAATGTATGTATCCAGTAAATGTTGTTCCTCATTCTCTCCGTCTATGGAGCCTGGTTTTTGCAAACGCCACTAACTTAAGGGATTTAAGGCAAGACACAGATTTCAGCAACATCACTCCAAGGAAGTAGATTGTCAGGATATGTTTACAGATAAGAAGAAATGATATGACTTATGCAGATGACAAGGAAAGAAACGAATGCAGGAAAGCAGGGGGAACTGAAGATTGTCGAGAAACTGGAAAAAAAGTTAAGGTTTCTAACATAGTTTAGGTTTTGAAAGAAAGAAACAGATACTTACATTTGTGTTTGCTTGTATGGTTTTTACTTGAGCATGCATAATTTCCTATTATAACATAATAAGCAGATACATTTTCCCTTCTGAGAATATAAACAGTCAGTTTTACAAACACATGTTCTGGATTATTTGTGTGCTTACCCAGCACAACAGTGTAACATGCAAAAACCAGCCGACTTTGCCCTGTTCAGATACATAAACATAAACACACACGTCTTAGAAAATTCTTCTTGCTAACCTTCATAAGCTTCCTCTGCTTTTAACTCTTATCTCTTCCTGCTTTATTTCTTACGCTAACTAAGGCTATCATCAAAAAATAAATCTTTAACAAAGGGCCTTGAGGAAACAGTCCGGGCTTTCAGATCCTGTGGAGACTTTGGATCTTACAAGATTGTAAAAACAGATGTGTAATGTGATTGCTATTGGAATTATAAGATAGGATCAGTCAATCAATCACCATGCCCTCGCAAACACACACACACACACACACACACACACACACACACACACATACACACACACACTGTACAGGCAATCGTGATGGTCTCACTTTCTTCCTGTCTGAAGTAACCTCAGCCATGTTTTCGTGTCCCATGAGGAATGCCTTTTATCATGTGACATGGTGATGTTGGCGGCGGGGATGGGGGGGGGGGCGGGGGGGGAGGGGGGGGGGGGGGGGGGGGGCGGAGGGGGGGGGGGGGGGGGGGGGGGGGGGGCGGGGGTAGACGCTGTTTCCATCAGTAACTCAGTCAACTGCAGCCAGCCAGTTGCAACCCTACTCAGAGGATCAGAGGGGCAGAGCAGCGGAGGGGCTCACAGAGATACGGGGGCCAAAAAGCGTCCAATTAGAAGGTCATCCCAATTTGTTCTCCCACGTCCACGCCGCTCATCAGGCACCTCAGGCCCGCTCGGCCAGTGTTATATACAAATCCGTAGCCAGAGGTGAATGGGTTGCCGCCATCTGGGAGTGATTATGCCTTTTCCTCATTGTTTCCTGTCTTTTCACCCCAACCCAGCTCCACTGAGTTCTGCTATTCAGCTAGCTCTGTGTTGGCTCAGCTCCCTTGGCTTGTTCAGGTTCTAAGCCCCCCCATGTAATTTAAGACCGGGAATGCTCAACAGCAGTCACTCATGCACAGGCGTTTACATTAGCACATGTTGTTCACCTCGTCAGGAACAGGAATCTGCTCAGTTTTATGTAACAAAAGGTTGTTTTCATTCATGATGTTCACCGCTCTCTTTTACACATCCCAGTTCCTTGTTATTGATGTCTCTGCTGTAATCTTACAAGTTATTTTCTTTAAATAGACCTTTTCAACATATTTAAGATGTTATAATCCCTTGTCATTAGAGAAGTGTTCCTCTTTGAGGCTGTACACTGAGGACCTTTATATCCAGTCTATGGTGGAGACAGGAAGGAGCTGCCTGTGACCACTAGAAATCACACTCTTCTGTTGGGCTTCTTGGAGTGGATGTGAGTTTGCTTTGTATCCAGTTCAGTCCTCTGGCTGCAGGATCTTCTTCTGTGTGCACGGCTGCTCGTTGTGGAAAGATGATAAATTGCTGTGGTAGTTCTCTGCTGCCTGTGAGGGAGCCGTCCACAGCTCACCTTCCTGCGGTGCTCCGTGTGTCTTCTCTCCTTACTGCCAGCCATCAGGACAAGCAGCCTCCTCAGCAGATAGTCTGTATAGTCCTCACCCACTGTTTAGTTAGGAAGTCAAGCAGAGATCCGGAGAGATTCTGTCAGTTATATTACAGTGGTGAACGGGTAAAGTAATGTCTGATAGACTAACGGATAGATGTAAAGCTAGATAGAATATTAATAACTCATCTCAGTGAAGGTGCTCTGTGTGCTGCTCCTGATGGACGTAGCTAGAAAACAACCCTTCTAGTGGAACTCATAAGGTCATGTGTGTTCCACATCGATGGCACAACATCCTGCCGCTCAAGTGGTTGAAGTCTTGAGAACAGTGTTACAAGGTGATTAACAATAAGAGTGATTGTGGCTTTGTTCCTCTTACAAAAGCAGTGCCAATTATGTGTTTTGTACATTTCATTTCCATGTGAAGAACAAGAAAATGAGAGACGATTAGAGAAAAAATGAAATAATGAATAAAAGCAATTTCCCTGGTTTCTTGAGTTTAAAACAACATAAAGTCACAACTTCTGAACTCAGAGCTGTAAAATTCCCACTTGTGAAAGCAGTAAATGCCACATTAGTCAGTCTTGGAAATTGACTCTTCTCGTTGACACAATAAATACAACTCCACATGAAGGCACCGAAATGAGCCAATATTATGCTTTGCCATTTTCTAATCACAGTTAAACATCATTAAATTCTCTCCTCTGCTTTTCTGTGTGTTTCTCAGTTTTACGTGACGACTTCAGGCAGAACCCCTTGGATGTCATGGTTGCGGTGGGTGAGCCCGCAGTGCTGGAGTGCCAACCACCCCGTGGGCACCCTGAACCCACCATCTCATGGAGGAAAGATGGAGCCAGTTTAGACGACAGAGATGAACGCATCACAGTAAGAGAAGCCATTTTCAGCTTCAACATAAAACCGACATCAACTAATTATTATTATTATTTTCATTATCAGTAAGTCTATTTTCATTATTTCTTCAGTTAATCATCTATAATTAAATTTCAGAACACAGTGACAAATAATCATCTCAAGTTCCCAGATATTCAGAGCGCTTGTTATGTCCAACCAACAGTATAAAACCGAGGGATATTCAGTTAAAATCATATGAAAAGGAGCAAAGCTGCAAGTCCTCAAACTCGAGAAGCTGGAACCATGCAGTGATTATTTTGGCATTATTGCTTGAGGTACGACTTTAACTCACTGAAGATCTGACAAGTTGATCCTACTAAAAAAACTGCCTTGAAAAAAAATAAGTAAATATAACTATTTATATTCACTTATGTTGACTTTATATCTACTTATTAAGTTTACTTAAAATAGTTGTTTTTACTTCATTTTGTGAAGTTGTTCCGATTCACCCAGTTTTTTCATTATTCACCCTCATGTAAGACAAAATACTGACAACTGGTTGATACGCACATAAACAAAAGTTGTTTGGTGTAAGTGTTTGGTTTTTAATTGCCCTTTTTGGGACGCTAAAGAACCAATTACCTCTTACCTCAGTCATGTTGAAGTGTGGAAGAGTAAGCATGTTAAGTCAAGATCTATTTGTGGTTACAAGAACACTAAATAATACCATCATCTTTATCTGTGCCCACACAGAAGTGAAAATGCCAGGAGAAAAAAAGACCATAATGCATCACAAACACAGTATAATGCTGTTTTATATACGACTCCTGGCAAAAATACGCAATACCAGAGAACAGCAACAAGCTGACACTAGTAGTGTCATCATATGAGCATTAGCATGGCATTAATCTGATATATGAAGCTGTCATGTGGCATGTACCACACAGCAGTGATTGTCTTATGTTTTTGTATAAACTGAATTGATTTTGTGCCTGATGGATTAAGGCAGCAAGAACTCTCAGTCCTTTAACTCAAGCATATAACCAGGTTTGAGCAACTCACATGATTTTGTGTGTCCGTGTGTGTGTGTGTGTGTGTGTGTGTTGATTTGTTTATTTGAATGTCTGTGCGTGCTCCCGGGGACACACCGGAGAAGATTCAAAGCTCATGTTAGTGCGGAGTGACAGGTAGAGTCTCTCTGGGGGGCTGTGATGGACAGAGCAGCTCTCTCTGATTTAAGGAGAGGCCTGGATCAGAGCTGGGGGAAGGCTCCTCTGAGGGAAATACAAAGGCTGCTTTTTGCTTTGTACTTTCTGCGTGCCTGTCTTTGTCCTCCCTAATCATCTTTTCTATATGGAAATATGTCTTTGCCAGAAGAGTTCACTCAAAGACATCACTTACTGTACAAAGACCAAAGGAGTCCACCACAAGTGATTCATAGCTGCTTTCAGTCTTTTTGAGGGCTTCCCTTGTGGGCTGGACCATCATTTATTAATACTGATATGTAGATAAAGTTGTGACTTGATTCTTGAGGACAATTTTTAGAAGGTTCTGATATGCATAAGTGCTATTTATTGACTTTTATTCAGATGTTGAGTGCCTTTACACAGATGTATGTATATCACAGAATAAGCAGCTTGAGCCTGTGTGTGCCTTTAGGGCATCTAAGGCTATGCGAAGAAGAAGAAAAAGAATATACTGAAAGAGAGGAGAGATTCAAGTTGAGATGCAAGTTGAGGTTCCAGTGTCCAAGATGGAGGACAGACAAACCACATTTGGATTTCTTAGCAATAGAATTGCTGCTAAAAATGAGGATTGGTCAGTGAAGGAAATAAAAAAGCTTGTGGTCTTCTCTTTAATCAGCTGCTAAAGTTACTAGTGTAGCTTCACAGCACACAGTTGCACAGGAGAAGTATAACATTAGTCAAAGGCATTGGTGAGAACACGATCATCTTTACTCTGCCACAAAATGTAATATTGGTTCATCAAGGGACAAAGACTCAGCGTGCCGAGAGCCATGGACGACCAGTCAATCTAAGACTCTTTATCCAGGGTTCAGGTGAATAACCTCATTCACCTCATTTATTATGTATTTGATGAAAATATTAGTGCTCATCATATGAAAAAGAAAACTACAGTATGGCAAAGATTATCAGCTAATAATGTAAACTGTATATTCACTGACATTCATGTAATTAGAAATTTTATTGCATGTCCACATCTCACAAGTTCCTCTACAACTTATTTGCTGCGATATCATGTAACTTTTATTAATATCTGTTAACATTAAATACAATTATCTTCTCTTTCATGTGGAAATAAGACACACGCTATAAACTATATTCAAAAATCTACAGAAGCTAAATTATGTTTGTTTGTTTCAGGCCAATATGATGCTGTAAATTACTGTTAATGTCTGTGATGGTGCTCGGATTGGCTCTAATGTGAGTCTAAACATCCAAACCTAATTCATCGAACACTTACTTGAGTAGCTGAATCTGCACTATCAGTTCCCAAATGCCCCCACTTTCTCCTTGTGATTACAAGTGGCTGGCATTGTGTATGAAAAGTACATACGACCACAAGCCACACCACAGTTTGTTAAATATTCCTCTGAATACCACATCATTTGCAGCAGATCTGGAACGTCAGCCACAGTTAGGTCTCTCTTAGTTGTTATTTATCTGGTGGATGGTGTGAGATGCTTGTGGTGGAAGGTTAGCCTGGAGGAGGATGACTAATAAATGAAAGGCTGTCGGTTTCATCCTTGCAGCAGCAATTTAATGATGTATTCCATCTGTGAGCTGGTGAGTGGAGAGTGCCCACCAAGCAAGGTGCTGTCTAGCATGACGCTGAATCCCCTGCCTGCTTTATGGACATGGCACTGTAGGCAGCCTTGACCTCTGACCTCTTTTAAGAAATAACAGAGCTGTGCAATTACAGGCTAGCCACACGATAGCTGTGTGTGTCTCCAGTGGGCTAGAGACACACACAGCTATCTTAAGTCCCAATAGAGCGGCTGTAAGTTTAATTGAAGTTGATGCCTGGAAGAAGCTTTCAGATATTTGGGTGCAGGGAACGGCCTTGTGTTTGTTTTGTGGTCTTCAGATCGGTATGCTCCCCCACTACAGTTTCACGTCTGCTCACTGCTGCTGTGATATCACCTCTAACACTGGGTATCTGCAGACTATCAATAGAGTGGCTCACATTCAAAGCACCATAAAGACAGCTACCTTGGTCTGTGGGGGCGTATGGTGGATAGGATATGAAAAGACTGAAAACAGCATGGAGAGCATATATCTGCCACCTCTTTGTTGTGTGTGTGTGTGTGTGTGTGTGTGTGTGTGTGTGTGTGTGTGTGTGTGTGTGTGTGTGTGTGTGTGTGTTTGTGCAGATATCAGTGAAGAGAAGCTAACAAGTTTGGGAAAGGCAAAGAATACTGACTGAACATCTGAGGATTGAATCTACAAAGACGCGATGTCTTTGTTCCCAGGGTTCTGTGCTTATGTAGCACTAGATATGAATTATGTAATTTTATAATGGGTGACCTTCTGTGTAGCTTGAAAGGCAGTGCAAATTCTATTCCTTAGCTAAATAGATGCATAGAGATGCACACAGACATACATGACATTGTTGCTCCTATTCCTACTGTATATTATCAAATGGAGGATGATTATATGTGGGTGAAATCACACATTAAAGTAGACATGTTCACAGAGGGAAATGTACAAAATGTACAAATGTGCAGATTATTTACCCTCATTATGAATGTGCACACGTACAGCACACATAAGGGTAGTCGGGGCTTGTGCAAATACAGCTGTGCAAATATTGTGTTGTGCTTTGTTTTAGATCCGCAGCGGCAAACTGATGATCACCAACACCAGGAAGAGTGACGCAGGGAAATATATCTGCGTCGGGACGAACATGGTGGGCGAGAGGGAGAGCGAGATCGCCGAGCTCACCGTGCTAGGTAAAATCTGCAGTGTTGTCACCGAACTGTGCAATGTTCCAGAGCTTCAGTTCTTGGTGGTGTAGTTTGCCAGTTCGCTGTGTGAGGTCTTTGTCACTAGGGTATAATAACCCATTAATTACGTTGATTATGCAGGACTACCATCCAGTCTGCCAGCTGTGCTTCCAACCAACACATGTGCTGAGCATCTACCGCTGATGCATCCGGTGCTACAGCCTCTCAAACCTTTCAAAACAAGTGCTCCCCATGCTCCCACCGACAGCTCCCACCCCAAATGTCTGCTTCCAGCCTCTATTCTCCACCCCCCCTTTTATGCTGCTAACATTTCCCATCAGAATAGAGCTCTTATCAGTATCACACAGTTCGATGACCTTGGTTAAGGTTGGGAGTATACAGTACAGTATCTCATGGAGCCGTTCAAGGCTATGAGAATAATCCTGCTGAATGCAGAAACGGGTCAGAATACATTGTTCTACAGGTTGTGCATAATGAATGACTTTGGAGACTGTCGGAGGATTATCACTAGAATACAGTATTACATTTGCAGTGTGTGGTTGTATTTATTGCCAGTTGTTTAGTTTTTTTAATCTTCAGACATGGAGCAGACAGTATTGGTAGTTTCTGCTGATCAAATGTTCAAGTAAAAAGTGATTTTCTGTCAAAGTGAAATGTGTCTTGTAGCTTAGTGCCAGTTACATTAACATTTTCATTCATTCCTGCACAACTTCCTTGCTTCAGGAGCATGTTATTGTAAAACTGTAGAAGCCAAATGGAACTCTTACTCACTAGACAATGCACCATTCACCCACTGTGTGAATCTCCACATCATTGCAAATGAGGGAAACCTCAATGATCTTCAAGGTTTACATAGATAAATGAAATGAAAATAAACTATAGAAATTACAAGAGAACAATTTTGATATTTATGTTTTTCAAGAGTAGATAAGTAAATGATGTAATCTATACAAGGATATCATAAAAAATCACCAGATGAGTATATTGATGTTTATACTTGATATTGCGCTGCCCTCCAGAGCGCCCGACCTTCGTGAAGCGGCCCAGCAGTGTGGTGGTGTTGGCAGACGAGAGCGTGGAGTTCCACTGTGTGGTTCAAGGAGACCCTGTTCCCACTATCCGCTGGAGAAAAGACGATTCTGACCTGCCGAAGGGCAGGTAATGCACAAAGGGCCTCTACATACAGTCATTACCATGCAAGCACGGTGTTTCAACTTCTCCTTTCATCTCTTGATTGTGTGTGTCTGTCCTGCCTCCAGATTTGAAATCCTAGAGGACCATACCTTGATTGTTCGCCAAGTGACCTCTTCAGATGAGGGCTCCTATACATGTGTGGTGGAGAACATGGTTGGGAAGTCTGAAGCATCCGCCACGCTCACTGTACACGGTCAGTACAACTCGATCCTCACAGTTAATGTCCTCCAACCGTAGTACGACACACTTCTCTATGCAACATACAGGTCACATACTTTTTTCCAGGGCCTCTGATAGTCTTTTCATGGATGAAGTATCTGCAAAACAGCTGCTCCCAGCCTAACAGGAGAACTAATCCTGTCTTGTAGTGTCACAAATTAGCAGGCAGAGACTTCTACCTCACTTTTTATCCAGACCTAGTTTTCCTTATTGTGCCTAAGGCTGTTGTTTCTCTCAACACAGTAGTGGTAGTAGTGGCAGGAATTATCTCTGGGGTATTTGTGATTTTATTTTTTTGTTTCTTTTTACTCCCTGGCTGGAGGTCATATAGTGTCTGCAGCAGTTCTAAATAATAAGCGGTACAGGGCGTTGCTGCAGTTTGTTTACAGTAAGTTTCATAGTAATGTCGTGTATAAACTGAGGAGAGCATGCAAAGTAAATGTTTACGTGACCACAGAAAATGGATTCATTTGGTCCAAGTTGTCCTGCCACAATGACACCCTTTAGTTTTTAAATCAGTCGCAGGAAATGAGCAGTAAGGCACCTCTCATGGTCGCACACACAGACCCATATCTATACACATAAACATACACACACCCACAGCAGTGACACAGTGGGTGACACAGACTGTGAGGACAGTAGGACTTAATTAAAGATAAGGCAGGGTTGGTTGCATGCTGGGAAATGACATGGTTCCAATTACATCATCTTCCTCTCCCTCCTAAAACCTGAGAAAACCAGCGTCATGGGGGACCGAAGCTAATTTGGGCAGTGAATGGAGAAGGGCAGGAGTAACTGGCAGATGTGTAGTAGTTGTATTCTGGGAGGAAACAGAGAGCCATCGAAGTGAATGTGTGTTTCATAATAAAATTAAAAAAAACTCTCTTACTTAACCTCTGGCTAGCTCAGTCAGAGCTGTAGTCTCAACCACAGAATCATTTTTACAGACTTAGAACATTTGGTTGATATTAAACAGTTGCCATTTGAAATAACTGCAGCAGGCCAAGGAGGTTAGTCATTTTAAGGTTTGCACAGGTTCCAAGCATGAAATGAAATGACTCTTCAGTGCTGCACTCATTAAAATCATCTGTAATCTTTCAGACATTCACTTGGGAGAAACTTTTAGATAAATTGAATTGCCTAAACTTGACACATGTCCTTCCAGACAGGGAGCTTAAACCCAGCTTTCCTGCGCTATGCAAAATCATGTGCTTCACTTTTCTAAAAACATTCTTTGAACACAAAAATGTTGAGCAATAACCACAGTCATCCTCTCACAGTAGTTCCAAAACCAGCTGCTTAGCTAGCCATTCATTTCACTATAAATCTAGTTTACAGATGTCAAGATGCACAGACTTTCCCATCTCTAAATATGTCTTTGTGTAGCACATTTAGCAGAGCAGAACCCCCCCCCCTTCTCCCCCTTCTCCCCCTTCTCCCCCTTCTCCCCCCCTCTCTTCAGACACAATGCTCCCTCAGGTTTATGTCCTCATTAGAGGATTGTATCTTTGTCTAAATACGCCTCAAGGCTGGATGGCTATGTAGCTCAAACCCGCAATTACATATTCTTTTCACACCTCACAATGAACAAGCCTGATGAGTCTAATTGGGGCTAAATAGTGCGCCTTGTCCTTTGACATCTCTGACATATATTTATATATAAAATACATACAGTCCTGCTCCAAAGTAGTGACACAGAAATACAGAAATTAGCCAATTTTGTATAATCTGAATGTTTAATAAAATGTCCAAAGTTACTGAACAACAACAAAACAACAAAATTATTTCATATAATGAAATAAAAAATACAGACATATAATTTACACTGGACACAATTATTAGCTCATGAATTCACCAGTTAATGGTGGCGATTGTTTCCAGTTTTGTTTTCTCACAATGTTGAAGACGAGACCACCAAAGATCTTTAAGACCCTGTTTCCACAGTTTCACAGTCATGAGACACAAGCCATCTGAAGAACGGCCTACCTGCAGTGAAATGCGGTGGAGGTTCTGCGGTGCTGTGGGGCTGTGGGGCTGTGGTGCGGCCTCTGGTACTGGAGCTGTTGAATGTGTCAAAGTGCTGTTTTAGAGCGAAATGTCTAGTTTAGTGTCAGAAAACTTGGATTGAGGTGAAGGTGTTCAGTCTTTCAGCAGAACAACGACCCAAAGCTCACATCCAGCAGCACAAAAGAACGGCTGAAAAGGAAAAGAGGGGCTGTTTTAAACTGCCACAATGGAATCCATTGGCACCTAAATCCAATTGAAACCCTTTGGAGAGAGCTGAAATCTGCCAGAGCAAAAAAAGACTGCAAACTTAAAAGAGCTTCAATGGCAGTAGAAAAAGAAACCACCAGCAGACAGGTGCATGGAGCTTTTAGATGGTTACTGGAAACGTTTAGAGGCCGTCAGTGTCGACAAAGACTCCGCAACCAAAAATTTGTGAAGGCTGCCAATAATTGTCTCCAGGGTGCTTGTGCTTGTATTATTTCACAACTATGCAAGTTTTTTTGTTGTTCAGTAACCTTGGACATTTTATTAAAATACTCTGGTAAAAAAAAATTGGCCCATTTGCATTTATTTTTGAGGAAATTCTGAATTATGTATTTGAAATTCAGGAACACAAAATAATTTTTACCAGGAATGTAAATGTGTATTATCACAGTGTGAACTCATCATTTTGTCTCTCTGCCTGAAGAATAATAGTGAGACAAAATGAATATCCTCGTAAGCACCAATATTATACACCTATAAGTATATTGATCAAATAAAAATACTATTAACAAAAAAGTAACAAAAAAACACTATCATTGATTATGTAGCTGTCATAATGTTTACTGTGCTTTCGTACCATTACCATTGTGCTCACTCATTCAAGCATGTGCCAGTACTGTTGAGTGCATCATTGCTGTTGCATGTCCCTGATTACTCATTACACTGCTCTTTTTTGTGTTTTTCCCCTTGTAGTCAACACTGGTAAGTTGTCATCCATCCCTCATCCACCATCAGACAGCAGCAGGAAATCATGAGCCCCTGTCATTGTCCTATCTGCACTGTAATTCCATCCACCAATACAGTATGTAATTCATGATATGTGTGGGTAAATGAATAAAAATATGCTTTGTTTTTTCGTTAAGAAAGGTAAAGAGTGACTGCTTTAGCCACATACACACTTAGCCTGCTTTATCCCTCGAGCTTTCTATGCAGACTGATGTGTTCTTAAACTGGGACTGATGAAAATGTGCATTAATTTGGACCTCTCTTCCTCCGCAGTGCCCCCAGCATTTGCCATACGCCCCAGGAACCAGGTGGTGACAGTGGGCAGGACGGTCACCTTCCAGTGTGAAGCCACCGGCAACCCACAGCCGGCTATCTTCTGGCAGAGGGAGGGCAGTGAGGTGAGACTGACCCTCAGTCTGTGATCACACTAAATCACTTCTCATGAATGAGCTTCTAACTCTG